TTTGCCCAAATTATTTTAGACATATTCAAAAACATTTTTTTGAATATTTTCTTATCCGGAAAATTTAGTAGTTTTGAAAAAATTGACTCCTATACCACATGGCAAGTCACATGTTTTTAGAAATGCAACATGGCTACCCATGTGTTTTGGGTGTTTTGGAATTCTATAAATACTCCTCATTTTGTTGTTTGAAAAAAGGAGAGAAAATTTTGTGTCAAAAAAAAAAAAAAGAAGAAAAAAAAAAGAAAGTTTGTTTCAAGATTTTTTTTTTCCCCAAAAAATCTAGAGGGAGAAAACTTGATTTTCAAAAACCTTGAGTTCTTTTGAGAGCAAGAGTTTTTTTTTTTTTTTTTAACCAAAAGCATTCAATCAACCTTTTTATCCACTTATATATATATTATCCAAAATTTCATTAAAGTTTAAACTTGAAACTTATTACTGGGATTTCAAAACATACACCATAACCGTAAGGGTGTTATAAAAAAAGTTTGGTAATCAAAAAATTTATCATTTTCTCCAAATGTGAGTTTTTGCAAATTTCTCACTTATTTTATTTTTATTTCTATTTCTCTTATCTTTAAATATGTGATTTAGCTTGTTAGATATGGATGGCTGAGCCACCTGATGTAGATTCCTTACTTTTTTGAATTTTTATCTATTGTTTTTAATTATGTAATTTAGCTTATTAGAAATGGTTGGTTGAGCCACCTGCTGTAATTTATTTATTTTCCTAAATTTTATTTCTTATTTTACATACATGATTTAGCTTGTTAGAAATGGTTAGTTGAGCCACCTATCCTTAGATGTTATAAATAAATTGGTTGTATGTTTTGTTAGATTTATCTTATTGTAATAACCTCCAATCTCCACTTCTTTCTATTTTTTTTTATTTACTTTCTTTTCATATCTGTAAATAGTATCATATTTCATCATACCTGTGTTTTGCATCCATATTTCATGCGTCAAGGTTCGGCTCATTTGCATTTGTGAATTTAATCAATTCCTATACGATTTTGTATGCTATACCATGTCTTGAGATGACTCACATATATTTAGTAGTCGAATCTTTAGTTGCATTTTTTGTGTATTTGTTGCATTAGAATCTTGCATCTAGGATCATGCGTATTTCTCTAATTTTGTTTTGCAGTCTTCCGTGGGACACTAGTAAATATTAGGTTAGTGTTTATGCTTTAGCATCTCGTTTGTGTGTATTTTTCTTATTATGTCTAGCATCTTACTATGTGGCTACTTACTTAATTGATATAACTCTATGATTGCCGATGGATGGAGGTTATGTCGCTTAATTTGGAATAATATTGATTTCATGCATTTGGACTCAATTTCATTGTGAATTGCACAAATCTCAAAATTCTTCCAAAATTCATGAAATCAAACTGTTCTAAAATGAACAACGCAGTCTATACTTATTTACTTCACATAGTAATTTTAGGTTTATTAATAATCGGAATATGAACATATAAAGTCAATAACACTCATATCATGATTTAGTAGAGGTTGATCTCTTAATCGGGTGAGCGGAAGTGCTTAATTAATGACCTTCTCCTTTCATACCTAAGGTTCAGAACCAAGACATCTTTGGCTATGACAAACAGTGGTCTTGGCACGAGTCACGAGTTTCCCAATTTTTCCGAAATGATTAAGTGGCGACTATGAGATCTAGTGATACAATCTATTTTTAGCTAAAAATGTGTAATAAAATGAATTTTCTATAAAAGTTGTAGGATTTAGACTATCGCATATGTTTCACACTACACTCGTTATATTAGATTAAAGAGATCGAGGATCCGAACTATTTAGGACGTTGAGGTACCCCCGAAAGCGATATGACAGGCACATACGACATGTATGTAATTTAAATAAGTAAAAAAATAACATAAATATTTAATGAGAAATTCTATGGTACACACCCCTGTACACATTTGGTTACGACTTTTCTGTTTTTTATTATGACATACTATGTTGTTAGTCATGACACATTATGATTTTAATTATAACATTATTTTGGTTAAAATCCAAAGAGTTGTTTAGTTATAAGTTATGACTCAATTTTTTTTTTTTTTAGTTATAAATCTCATAGTATTGAGTTGTGCCATTTGTGATAATCAAAATCACAAATGGCATAGTATTTCCCATATTTAATACATGTTGTGTGGTAAGAGTGTTCCTTAATAAACTTAAGATCCTGAGTTTAAGTCCCACTTACTCCTAAATTTATAATATCAAAATAAAGAAAAAGAATATATCTAAAAAATATTAGGGGAATCACGGCTCCGTTTGTTTTGACATAAAATATTTTACACAAGAAAAAAAAAATTGTTTTTGCTTTTCAGCATTTGATTTTGATTGACACTTGAAATAAAAATATTTTATTGCTTAAAAGAGAAATTTTGATTCAATAATTTGTTATTTATGACTTTTTAGTAAGTTAAGATACTTATTTGATAATACTAAATGTGTTAAAAAGATAGTGAGTGAGAATCAACTTTGTAAAAATTGACTTAAGGAAAATGATGAAAAAAATATTTTACATACTTTTTATTCAACCAAATAACAAAAAATAAGTAAAATATTTTTTTTTAAGTATTTTACGTCAAAACAAACGAATCCTATATATCAGTATAAAAATAAAAATAAAAAATTATAAAATAGTGATAAACATTACACATATTAATAATTAAAATCATAACTTTTTTCATTTTTTTGTAAGTATTATTTGTCTTTTCCACTTATGCGTAATTCCCCCAAAAATATTTAATTTAGGAATATTTAGTCTAACATCCCTCTCCAACTTTTAGTAATGAGAGAGCTTTACAATAATTTTTTTTTTGTTGCCTAAGGTCTCTCACCACACCCATATATCACACCCACTCTCTTATTCTCTCTTCTCTCTCATATCTTTCTATGCTGTGACATTATTGTATATTTTGAAATTACTGCTCATCTTCTAATACTTCCCAAAGCTTTACCCAATGGAGATTCTCACTCTCACCTATCTCACGCTAACCAAGATTGATGATGATGAAAACGAAGAAGAACAAGAGTCCAAGCTCCACATAAATGGAAATTCGGCCTCCTTTTTCTCCTAATCTTCTAAAAAATCTCACTTCTTTCTCTTCACTAGGTTTATATTCATATATATATATGCATAATCTGTATGTGTTGTTGATTTGGGTGATTTGTATATATATCATCATCACCAGGTTCATGGTGATAATGATATATATGTATGTATATTCATATTCATCTTCTGGATATATATGTATGTAGAAAAACAAGCTAAATGATGGAGTAACAAACAAGGCTACAGGGAGAAATGAAACAAAGGGAGAGAGAAGGGTTGAGTTGGGGTCTAACTTATATACTCTTTTTTTTATTATTATTTTTAAAAATGTTCAATTTTATCTGGTTTGGTGAAAACAAAGACAGAGAAAATTGTGAATAAATCAAAGAAATTTCAAATTAGAGAAAATTGATCAAAATATAGAGAAATTTGTAAGCAAAATTTCAACCAAAAAAAAAAATTGGTCAAAACACAGAAATTTTGAGCAAACTAAAGAAATTTCAACCTAGAGAAACTTCCAAACACAGAGAAAATCAAAGAAATTGAACAAATCAGAGAAATTTCAAAACACAGTGAAATTTGAAATATCTCTTCTCTGTGTTTTGAAAATTTTCTGAATCGAAATTTCTCTAGAAAAATGTTGAGGGACCTCAACTACTATGAAAATATTGCAAATCCTTTATCTTATAAAATCTTAATATTAAGGATTTAAAAAAAAAAAATTTGCCCTTTAATCTAGGATTTACATTCGAAGAATTCTATTATGCACACCCCATACCATATGCATTTTTAGTTATGGCATTTTCTTCTTTAATTATGATCAATTTTATTCTTTAATTATGACATTATTTTGAGATCTTTAATTATGACTCATTTGTATTTGATTATGACTTTTTTTTTTATTATTATTTATCTTTATAACTCAGAAATTATAAAATTATATAATTTTTTTTTTTTATAATTATAAGGTGCATATGATATATACTGTGTGTAATTTTTCCCTTTACATCCCTTTAAGATAGGAATTGGGGTCACTGCTGCGTTAAAGGCACAACAGTGACCGTTGTACCTTAATTTGAAGTGTATTATGGGCTTATGATTTGAACCGTTTGTTTTGTAGGGTTTGTTGAGTACTTTATACTTACCAAAAATCATATTAATCGGATATCAATAAGTATATGATCGAATTGCATATTTTTTATGCTATTTTTCAAAAGAAAAACTTATTGTTTATTTCTTTAATTACCAATCATATAGTTATTGATATCCGATTAATATGATTTTTGATAGACATGAAGTACTCAACAAATCCTGCAATATAACGATTCAAATCATAAAATAGGCTTATAATATACATTAAATTAAGGTACAATAATCACTATTGTACTTTTACGTATAACAGTGACCCACATTCCTTTAAGATATAAATTTTGTCATAACCACCATAAAAATGTTCTAATTAAAAGTAAGGGATTTGAGACGATGATACAGCAACGGCTCTTTAACTGATATATTAATTTTACTAATAAATTAATAAATCTAAGGGTCATAATAAGTGATTTTATTATTTATTAAGTTTTATGATAAAAATTTGTTATAAAAAAAGTTATTAATCGTAAATTTTAACGATAATTTATAAAATTTATGACAAAAAAAAAAAATCACTAATTATTAATTTTTAATGATATATATAAAAAATTACTATAAAAAAATTATTTTTAACTATAATTATACTAAGATTTATTTTTAATAAATGATTAATTCCAACTATGAAAACTTATGGCTAGTTTACGTAAATCTCGCTAAGTTTACAGTATTGAAAAGAAGAAAAAAATGTTCTGGTTTGTCACAGTGAATAAGTGCTAGGTTGAATTCATTAGAAAAATCATTCTACAGCTTTACTCTATTTCAAAAGAACATGTCGATCCCCTCTTCCTCTGGCACCTGCGACGAAATCATGCCGATCGAAGACACAAACCACACTTTCTCCTCCAACAATCCGATCCAGATCGCGATATCCCATAACGTTAACAACCGCATCGAACCCACATCAAATGACGACGACGACAACAACAACAACAGAAGCAGTATGGCTGAGATGCTTTCTAAATTGATTATCGCAAATCTGAATTCCCTTGACAAGATTTCGAAGAAGATCAGAAAATACGAAGATCGAATCAAAGATATGTTCGAGGAGTTCAACAAGCTCGAACAAGAGGGTGGAACTGAAGACCAATTTGGGGAATTGAAGAGGAATATCATGAAATTGAAGCAGCAGATCTCTTCGAATCACGAGGATGATCGTGAAGAGTCCGATCCTCATCGCCGTCAACGGTCAAACAAAGGTAATGCCGATAATACGCTAAAAAACCAGGCTTTAAAGCGAAGATTCGCAGTCAAAGAATTCAGGGCCTGTTATGATCAGCTCGATGAAGTGTCGAGAATCTGTTTACTTTTCTTTTCTGTTTTCCCAGAAAATGCTAAAATAAAGAAGAGGGTCATGATGTACTGGTGGATCGGGGAAGGTTTGATGACAACGGAGAGATTAGCCAATGAATTATTCAACAAGTTTATTGTGAAGGGCTTCATTGATCCCGTGTGCAAAGTGGGTAATAGTAGTTTAGGAGGGAACATTTGCAAGATGGACCCTCTTGTCCGTTCCATGGTGATTAAGGTCGCCAAGAGTATTAACTTTGCCAACTTTGACGATGATAATGATGACAATGCTAATGCCACGCCCCGTGCATGCTTAACGGGTGATGGGTTAACAAAGATTCAAGATTTGGAAAAGCTTAATACATTGTTTAATGTTAATGAGGATATTCTTGAAATCAAGACTGAATATTTTTCAAAGATGAAAAATGTCAAAGTTCTTTACTTGGGAAGGTGGCAGACCTCGGTCTCGCATCACATTGAATTCGCCGACACCAAGGACATGAAGAAAAATGCAAATGTTTTGGATGGATTGGGAAATCTCACGCTTTTGAGGTTTCTGAACCTTGGTGGAATCTCTAGAATTTCAGAGCTTCCCGAGTCGATTTCAAAGCTCACCAATCTTACAATCCTTGATATTAGAGCATGTCACAACCTTGAGGTGATTCCCGATGGAATTGGCTTGCTCAAGAATTTGACACATTTGGACATGTCTGAATGTTACCTGCTAGATCAGATGCCCAAGGCGCTTGCATCGCTCTCCAAACTCCAAGTCCTCAGAGGATTCTTGGTTTCAGAGGGTAAAAGCTCATGTACTCTTGATGATTTGCGAAAATTTTCCAGGTTGAGAAAGTTGAGCATTTACGCTGTTGTCCATGGATTTCCTTCAGACAGAGATTTGTGTGCCTTACATCAGTTTAAAGCACTTACCAAGCTAACAATCGTGTGGGCAAGGGGTTCTGTGCAACCAACAGTAGCTACCAAGAAACCGAGTCTCCCAAGATCATTTACCTCTAAGCCAGCAGAGTTGGCAATGCTTCCCTTAGGACTAATAAAATTAGACGTTCAGTGTTTCCCTTGGATGACTACACCTAGTTGGCTGAGGGCTTGCAATCTCAAGAACTTAAAGAAACTCTGTATCAGAGGAGGTCAATTCTCTGACCTGGGTCAAAAACTTGATGACAAGAAGGCTGAGAAGGACAAGTGGGAAGTCGAGGTATTGTGTTTGAAGTACTTAGATGACTTAGAGATGGATTGGAGTGGTCTGCAGGAAGTATTTCCAAAATTGAAATTCTTGGAGATGGTAAATTGTCCGAAACTCATTTGGTTGTTCCCAATCGACAATAGTCAAGTATCGATGGATTCGGATATTTTATATTTCAGGGACGGCATACATATCTCTATTTCATATAATGACATCAATTGTTTTTGAGTTTTGATGATGTATTGCAGTCTTATAAAATGAAATAGAGTTTTTCATTCTATTTAGTAAATAGCCCCCCATGAAATAAACAGGATCATAATTCAGGGTGCTTGAAGTAAACAATGGGACAAGCAGTAGCAACAAATGTCATCATGAATGTGCTTGGTCTTTTCTCCTCACCACCAACGTAAACAACAATATTTGATTTGGATTACAGTTTTGTTTCTTAATTCTTCATCTTTGTAATTTTTTTTTTCTTTTTTTGGTTGCTCTTTGTGTGTGTGTGTGTGTTCTGTTGCTTCAAAGCTATGTGATAGTCTAGGAGTTGATTTGCTTCGAAAGCCATAGTACCATGCTTGTGTCCAACACTGCACATACAAAGTCGTTCTGTTGTGGCAGCAACCACTACATAGTTCTTGAGAAATAGCTATTTTGCGGGAGAAATGGCAATTTTGCGGATGAAATTTTTGGAAAGAAGCTTTCAAGAGTGCATCCACAAAACATTATTGGTGGAAATATTGGAAGACATCTTGTTTTTGGCCACAACTCCTTGCCATTAACCGGGTTGAAGAGATGGGTGGATAACCCCTTCAGCCCCTTGTGGGATGCATATGGTGTGCACCCCACATGTAAAACCATTGGATTGTGAAAATTTGATCTTGGCGATTGATTTATTTGTTGAAAAAAGAAAACCGAACAAACCTGTTAACCCCTCTCCCCCTTTTCCCCTCCCACTCCCTCCCACCAGATTCCAAACTCTCTGCCTCTCACTCGTTTCTCATTAAAATGATAAAAATTAAACTTTCGACCAATAAAAAAAATGTCACAAGAGCATTTAAACTCACCTCATGATGCATTATAATGGTAAACTTTCGACCTATATATTCACGTAATGTACCTATCTGTCTATATCACCACCACTATCAATTGTTGCCGGCCACCTCCGGCGACATTTCCGTCAATTGCTGATCCGGTCAAAACAATAAATCGTCATTCTCACCAAACAATTTCATTAATCATGTCCTTATAACCAAAACAAAACGATCATTGAACCTAATGCCATACACGTTCCAAAATGACTTCTCAACATTTTTTCCATTAATTATTACAATCGTTTTGAATGTGAAAGTTAGGAATATTAGGTATTGTCAACAAAAAAATAAAAATAAAAATAAAATAGTTTTGATGGTGTAGGTTATGAATTATAAATTAAAACTATAATATAAAATTGAAAAAAAAAAATTAACACAAACTCATCATGTAAATGCTGATGACAGGCACACAAACTCATGTTACATATAAATGTCTAATACAAATATGTATGGTATCTTATCAACATCCCAAAAATGGTCCCTCTTTTGTCTCACATTTAAAATACATATAAAACTTACTAAAATTCAACATATATGAGATTCAAGTTGAATTGACTAATGGACCAGCCGAGTATTTGAGTTTGTGACAAAATTAAATCAAAGCTTTGAGTTGATCAAGTAATTTCCACCAGCTAGCTCTGACTGGGAAGTGATCCAGCTGTTGTTTGCTCCAAAACCCATGCTTGTGTTGTGTGCTACTCCACACACAAAGTAGCTTCTTGTGGCAGCCACACCACTACATATAGTCATGCATATAAGTCATATAATTTGTTCAAGTTACAAAAATATTTGAAAACAAATATAAACAACTTTTATTGGTTCTTCAGAAATGGCAATTTTGAGGAAGAACATTTCGGAAAACAGATTTTGAGAGTGCATTCACAAAACATTATCTGCCTTTTTTTAACACTATCTTCTTCCACTGCTACTGAATAAAAGACAGATCATTTATGGTGTAGATAGGGGATAATGTGTGTGTGTGTGTGTGAGAGAGAGAGAGAGAGAGAGAGAGAGAGAGAGAGAACAAACATGCGTCAAATTCAAAAGGAAATGAAGTTAAAAAAGAACCTGAAGTGAGATATTGTACACACAAAGGTCAGAGTTGTTCAGTATTGCAAGGAATTTATCATCTGCCTTCTAATTTCCTTTCTCAAGTCAATTTCTTCCCAGGAGAATAGGATCTAATATTAGAGATGGCTGCAATTCAGTCCCGACTAGATTGCCAATTTCAGCAATTCCTGAAGATACAGCGCATGATATGGCGAAGTATGATCACAAAGATGCTGCCTCCAAATGCACTCTCCACTTTATTGCGAGATTACACTGGAAATAATCTCGGCAAAGTAGGGAATACACAGTCTACGAACTTCTGGCCAATTTGACATTTTCTTTGAAGTCTGCTAGATTTGGGCATCCCCAAACTTTTGGAGTTAGTGGAGGTGGCAATGCACACCCGATCCTCTTCAATTTGGGCAGTTCCCACAGATACAATGTGTTCAAATGTGGCAACTCAGGCTTGGGTGATGCATGTTCAAACACAGCCTCCAATTCATCACAAAACTTAATATGAAGGACTAGAAGGTTTATTGGCAGCTGGGAAGAAGAGAAGACAATCGACAACTTTGGACAACAGTCTAGATACAGATGCTTAAGGTTTTGAAAGGTCTTACTTTGCCAGCTCCCACTGTATATACCCTTCAAATTAACAGAATTAGAAACCCATAAGACCTCTAAACTTTCTAGTTTCACTATTTCTTCTACATCTTCTTCATGAAAAACACACTCCATTTCTCTGCATCTCTCTATCCAACAGCCTTTCAGTACCTTGAGGTTGGACGCACCCAAATCAGATATCCATCTTTGAAATGCATTATCGACCAAAAAAACACAATCAGCATGAGAGAGAACTTTGTTGATGCCCTTGGGGGAATGACGGAAGCCATGGATTGCCAATGAACCTTGCTCTTCAAATTTAGAGAACTGTCTGGTTTGGAAGTAGATATCTCTGAACATAAAATCATCTCGGTAGAAAGAAACAACTCCTTTTCTATTACGCTCCTTGATGGGATGAACAGAGAAGTGGAATTGCTTGAAGATTGTGTTCTGCAATGGATTGTTCCCCAGAAATTGAAGAAATTGGGAACTACTTACAGATACAGGAGCTTTGTTCTGGTCCCCAACTGTTTTAGCTGGCAAACTGGAGATGCCCCATCCATACTGATTTGGCTCCTTTAACTTGTTGCTGCCAGCTCCTTGAGCATTCTTCATGTTCGGCAGATCAAGGAGCTCAAGATGAGTCAATTCTGAGATCCCATTGGGAAGATCTTTAACAGTGCCCCGGAGTAGATGAAGCAATTCAAGTTGCAGAAACTCTTGTAAGCCTGGACAATCTCTAAGCAGAAGCTGCCGGAGGTTGCTAAAGTTCTTTAGCGATGGAAGATGATCAATTGCAGTTCCAGAAAGGTCCAGGACTTCCAGTTTTGTCAATGCTTCCAAACCGGGCACTGCTTTCAAGCTCGGACAATCCCTTAGATAAAGCTGGCGAATGTTTTTGAGGTTTGACATGGATGGTAATTGTTGAAGCGGGGTTTCAGAGAGGTCAAGAATCCGAAGGTGACTCATATTTCCCAACAAATCAGCTCCAATCTCTCGCAAAGAGGTAATGCCACACAAATTTAGCTCCTCAAGTTTTGATAGAGACTTTAGGTGTAGAGGGAGTTGCAGGTCGGTAGATTTTTTCAGTAAGAGGTGGCGGAGGTTGCTAAGATTTGAAAGTGACGGCAGATATTTGATCTTAGTTTCAGAAAGATCAAGTCTCCATAGGCAAGACATCTGGTCAAACATGTCATCGGGTAGTTCTGTCAAAGCAATGCAACCAGAAAGATCAAGCACCTCCAGTTTTTTAAGGGGATTCAAGTCTACCAACTCCTCCAGGTATGCACAAGAGGACAGCAATAGTCGACGAAGGTTCAAATGATTAGAAAGGGATGGCAGAGTTCGGATATGGGTTTTTGAAAGATCAAGTACTTCTAGGACTCCAAGTGTCTCTATGCATAATAGAGATTTTTCCGGAGGGGAATTTTTTGAATTGAGTTGACGAGGATTGCCATGATCAAGTACAGTTCCTGATAGATCAAGAATCTTAAGGCTTACATTATTTTCTAGCGATTGATCATGGAACTCATTAAATTTGCTTGCATTTGAAAGATCAAGAACTTGGAGACTTGCTACTGAATTAATGCCGCGCAGTCGAACCAACTCTGGGCAGCCACTTAGCAAGAGATGTGTGAGATTTTTAAGATTCTTAATCAATGGTATGCTTTTAATCTTCGTTTTGGAAAAATTAAGCATTTGAAGTTTCCCATTTTGCGAAAAAGTTTTGTCTTGGATACTTTCCAAACATATAGCACCAGAAAGATCTAGCACCGTGAGGTTTTTAAAGTTTCTCAAACTTTTCAGAGTTTTCAAGCAAGAACAGTCTCTTAGGATGAGCCAGCTTAGTTCACCAAGTTCATAAAGAGATGAGGGTAATGACTCAATTTGAAGTGCAGATAGGTTGACGCTACGAAGTTGGGGCAGGTGCTTAAAAAACTCATCAGGGATTGTCGTCAAGGAGTTTGGACCAGATATCTCAAGAACAGTTAATTTTTCAAATTTTAGGGTGCCCTCTACCTTGTCAATCTTTTCCATGAAAGGACAGCCTCTGAGCACAAGTATGCAAAGTTTGTGCATCATAGATGAGGAAGGAGACAATGTATTCAATGGAGGGTTAAAAAGGGCAAGAACTTGGAGTTCTTGGTTGGACTGAAAGAAATTACGGGGAAATTCCCTAGTGAGAAAATTCCCATCAAGCAGTAAAGTAGAGAATTTCTGACCTTGTTTGTGACTCTGAAGTGTTCTCATCCCACCATCCTTCTGAGTGATTCTCCCAAGGCCCTGCCAATTCCCATACCCAAACACATTAGCTAATCCCAGACTAGCTGTGCCCCCAAAACCACAACGGTAACAGTCATTGAAGTTCATTATTGCCCTTTCCATTACAATATCAGCCAAATTTGGCGCTAGTCCTTCCATTGTAACACAATCAGCCTCCACTATTTTCAGAATCTGACAATCTATAAGCTCCATCAAAACTTGATGTCCTCTCTCATAAGCCTCTTCCATACAATTGATTTGACCAAGATATCCTTCCATCATCCAATAAGCTATCAATTCATTATAATGAATGCGCCGACAATCACGAAAGAAGTGGCTACCGCTGCAAAAGCAGTCAATTAAAACACTGTTTGGAAGCAAATCATACCCACTGCGTAGTAAATGTGTGATGTTGTAGATGTCATTGCCAGATGCTTCCTCCAGAGAACGTTTCAGCTTCTGCAACCCATTATCTTGTTGAGCAAAATAAATGAATGCTTTTGCCATCAAGACAATTGCAGCAGGAAAATTTTTAGTCAAATTTTCAGTCTTTTCAAATAAAGCTTCGGCTAAAGCTTTAATGCCTGGAAGCTCGTAAACTCCAGTCCCAACTTGTTTTTGCAATAAGGACAATGACTCGTCCTTTGACAAGGGCTTTACCTCAATCTCTGACCCATTGATCTCCTCAGAATTGATTCTTTTTGTGATTAGAACTTTATAATTTTGTTGGTTGAGATTCAACAGCATTCCCAATTCAGACATTATCTGTTGTTCACTCATTTTATTTCCCTCATCATCCAAAACTATAAGGAGCCTCATTCCTGCAATTGCTGCAGAAATATGCTGTTGCAAGTCTCCAGGGTCCTCTGATTTCTCATTTTTATCCTCTACTTCTGACTCCCCGGTGGTGGAAAGTAGGGATAACTGATGAGCTATACTGTCACAAAGAGAGGCCCTGTCATGTTGTCTGTTGAGAAATACCCAGAGAGTAATGTCAATTACTCCCTTATTTTTTGCGAAAAGACTCATCTCTCTGGCTGTTCATGTTTTTCCAACTCCAGATTCCCCGAAAAGAACAATCCTTGGGACTTCTGTATCTGTCAGCAGTTTGAATAACTCTCTTTTCCTCTCTGCAACTGTACTCGGAGGCATTGCTGATGTAATAAATCCCACTGCATAAGTTTTTATGTTAAAGAATTAATCATAAAAAAACACAACAGAGACAAAAAGAACGTAGATTTGGTATTTGCCAGGGTAATGAAAAACCAGAAGAAGCAAAACAGTACCATAGCAAGTTGGCAACATCAAATATTGCATGTTCCCCGCTTACTTTGATTACATTCAAAAAACATACAAGCCCTTTATTCTAGATACCGTAATCAGTAATGATGAAAAATAAAAAGATGAAATGCATTTCAAGTTCCTTTAAACTTCACAGAATTTTTATGTAAATAGGCATACATGGAAGTTCAGGTTTTCTTTTGTGTTTGTTTGTTTATGGGTCCAAACTCCCAATACATCTGAAATTTCTTTTCTATGAACTGTAAGACAATAACATGCTTAATAATACTCTACAAAATATATATACTAGATATATTTAGGACATCTAAATTATGAAAGATGGACTTTGTTCCATGTTTCACAGCTCATATTATCCAACATCGACAATACATATATAGTATCATCTCTATACATATTATAATCTCCGGTCTAAGAAATTTATTGAAACAACAAAAATGAAAGTGATGAACTTTGCATGGTTTTCAGCTAATATTATCCAATATCTGCTATGTGCATAAACATTATCATTTATATAATAAATATGTATATATATGTATGTATGTATGTATGTATTGAATTGTTTGCTCTGTAAGAAGACGAGTTTATTGGAACAACCAAGATTTAAAAAAGAAGCGCAGCCACAGCCGAGGAACATCCTTTGAGAAAACCGGATAATGGTAAGTCCTAACTATGAGCACCACTTATATGACAGAAAATCAATACTATGATCAAAACAACCTCAACCAAAAAGGCCCAATTAAGGACTGCTACGAACATCTTTACATCATGAGCATTCAAACCTTACACCCACACTATTCTCAAAAATCATGCGATTACATTCTAATTGAAGATAATACAAGAACAACAAAAAGTTACTTTGAATCCTAACTTCCCAATAGATTGACCTTCCAACTTGGAGCTAATTTGAATAACAATGTGGTCCCAAATTTCAAAATAATGAACAAGACCACATTTTCTATGCCTCATTTTATTGATCTATTAACCAATGGGTCACTATCCCAAACATTGCTAACTCTTTCACCAAAGCTAGAAACCATACAACCAGGGCCGGTCCTAAGGCAAGGAGGGCAAGGCCGCCTCGGGCTCTGGAATTCTATCTAAAAAATAGGGACCCCAAATAATTTTAGCCCTTATGTTATGTTTGGTTCATTGCAATGAAGTGGATGAAATAATCATCCCACATAATGTCCATTCTCACGTTTGGTTCACTAAAAATGAAAAAATAAATTGATAGAGAGAAAATAAATTGTATGTATTATTGATTGATGTATTGATATTTTTTTGATATATTACAATGATTCCTATATATAGAAGAGAGGATATGGGAAGAGAATAGGTGAGTGTGTAGTAGGTATGGAGTAGGTGAGGAGTAGGTGGAGAGTAGGTGAAGTAGGTGAGTGTGTAGTAGGTGGTAGTGGTAGGTGTGTAGTAGGTGAATTTTAACAGCCTCCCGCAAACTCAAGGGGGATAGGAACTAACCAACTTGAGTTTGGAGAGAGTAACAAAACAAGAAAATACATAAAAATAAAAGAGGATAGGAGACACTATATGGTCGTGTCAGACCATTGGTGAAGACACTGGATGGTGGTGTCATAACGTTGTAGAGGACACTGTACGTTAGTTAGAATCCTGAGCTGAGTAGTAAACTATTTTGCCAGGAAAAACAACTAGCTATAACTTTTGTTTTGTTAAGAAGACAACAGTCTTTTTGACTTCCAGGTAGTTGGAGTGTTTGTAACATTCCTATATCAAACCTATGTTATATCATGGCCATCAAAATAAGGTTTTGATTTTGATAGAAGAGGATTATTACTCTTATCTTATGTGACTGGAAAGTTAGTTATACTTTGGTGGCATGCATACTGGCAAAAAGCTTATGTGGGTTTTGACATTTTTGTGTTTGTTTCAAGGAAGCATATGAGGAGTTTAAGCATGTTCTTCTTGCCTTTATCTTTGACAAGGATGACCAGAACTCTCCAGTGGCAAATGAGGTGGGCTTCAATTTATGAGAGTGCTTACAAGCCAAGTTGATGTCAATTCATGATACCTTAGGAAATTCAAAATTTCTTTTGCAGGAATTTATGATTTATGTATACATATAACAAGACAATACCTTACAACTTGTTCTTGCTAAGAAAAAGATTAAATGATCACGCGTGTGTGGAATCAATGTTGGGACAGTTTACAGAGTCTTGCTGGACCCTTGTAGAAACTAACCGGAATCAATGTCGGGACAGTTTACAGAGTCTTGTCGGACCCTTAAAAAGTCGCACCCTCAAAAGGTGTGCCCAATTTTTCAAAAGGCGTGCCATCAAAAGGCGTGCCCAATCCATAAAAAAGGCGTGCCATCAAAAGGCGCGCCCATGTTGTCGTTGAGCGCCGAGCGGCGCATGATGCGCGTGTCTGCCTTGGCTATTTAACCAAGGTTGAGGCAGAGGCTGTGCAAACCAGTCTGAAACTGCCGAACATTTGCATTCTGAAATACTCTGTAAATACTTTGTAACCAATCCTTCTCTGAAAGTACCAATCGGAAATCGTTGCTTCGCTGAAACACTCAGCAACCCAAAAACATGGCCTCTTCTTCCCGTGGTCTGCTCACTCTCTTTCCTGACCTCAACGAGTCCACAAGAGAGATAACCGGTGCGGTTGCCCGTGAACCTCAACCAAGTGCCCCTGAGTTTGCTCCGCTGACCTTTCATATGCGGTCTGTGGAGCAAAGAATGGCAGCACAAACAGATATTGAGGCCAATCAGTATACATTGAAGTCATGCGTGGAGACCATGACTGCGGTCACAAACCTGTCGCACCGGCTTCAGAGTAGGACAAATGAGGTGCAGCAGTTAAACGCCCAACTAGCTTTGCTCCAGCGCATGTATACGGATGCGCAAGCAGAGATATGTGTGCTAAAAGTGGAAAACAAGGAGCTGAAGCGGAAGGCTACCGTGATGTTCCGATTTGGAGATCCGCCATATGCTGCAGTGGAGGAGCAGCGGAGAGTGAACGTGCTCGGTGGCGTGGGAAACACGGAGGCAACACCGGCAAGGGCCGTCCAAGACGGAGGCAAGAAGAAGAGACTGGCGACAGAGTAGAGAAGAAAAAATCCCACTGTGGGTGTGATTGTTGTGGTTGTGGGTTTTTGTTGTATTTTTTTTTTTTTTTTTTTTTTTTTTTTAAATGAAATTATTAATAAATATTTAAATAATTAGCTACACAAGAAAGTCTTTGTCTTGATTGTTTGATTGGGATTGTTATATTCTGCTTAAAATTGGTACATAATCACAAATCAACATCTAGGGGATTTCTAGATTTTTCAAATAATAATAATAAGATATTAAGGGAGAAAGCATATGCGGTGGAGACAAAAAAAAATATATATATATATCTTTATAAAAGATAGAAAGAGAAGTGTGATAAAGAAAAGGATGGTGGTGGATATGATTAAAGTGTGTGGCGGATATGATTAAAGAGAGTGTATTGATTATTTGATATAATAATAATAATAATAATAAAAAGAAAAGGTAGACCACTGAGAGAGAATGAGTGGAGTATGGTAAGGGTGGGTGTCTTGAGTGGAGAGAGAGAGACGGACACCACTTGTTCTTGGGATAGTCTCAGGCACATAGAGAGAGAGAAAGAGGGGGGTTACTGTGATTTCTCTTTCCTCCGGCAAGAGCATCTCCTTCTTGAACCTCACCAGCAACCAGTTCACTGGCACAGTCCCGGCTCTTCCAGTCGGGTCTGTGAAGTTCTTGTATCTGTCTAAGAATGATTTTTATGGCGAAATACCATCCCAGCTTGCTGGGTCTCTGTGCTCGAGCTCGAATGGTCTGGTGGAGTTGGATCTTTCTTTCAACAATTTGTCTGGCTTGTGAAAGAACAGAAGCACTATACGGATCTCTGCTGTCGAGTATACTCCCAGAGAGCAATGGCACCACTGACATGAACATTGAGCGACCTAACAACTCCCAACTGAGGGATTTCAATACAGGCATCCAGAATATGGATTATCTCCGCTGGTATACCCTCCTTCTCACGGCCCAGAACCAGGACCGTCTTTTTAGGGAAGATATACTGGTCAAGAGGTATACTGTTTGCAGTTTGCTCCAAACCCAAGATAGAAAAACCCTCTCTCTTCTTTTTCTGTAAGAAAACTTTCAGATTACTTACTGGGACTTCCACAACGGGAACCCACTTGTCAGCTGTCACACTGATAAGTTGGAACTGCTTGTCATTTACTATATTTGCATCCGCAACAGCTAAACCAGCCGCTTTAAACACCTCACATGTTCGTGCTAGTCCAGCAAGGTTGGGTATACGATCAAGTAGAGATGCCACAAGGATGAACTGCTGTCGATTGATATATTACAATGATTCCTATATATAGAAGAGAGGATGTGGGAAGAGAATAGGTGAGTGTGTAGTAGGTATGGAGTAGGTGAGGAGTAGGTGGAGAGTAGGTGAAGTAGGTGAGTGTGTAGTAGGTGGTAGTGGTAGGTGTGTAGTAGGTGAATTTTAACAAAAAAAATTATAAAAAATGTATTACAAATAAAATCATCTCTTATTATTATGAGAAAATAGTCATTCTATAGAGAGAGGCTAAGGAATAACTATTCCTTTCTATTTAATTTCATTCCAGTGAACCAATCATTATGTTGTAGTATTAGTAGTATAAAAATGAAGTTTTACAGAAAAAATTTAATAAACAATTGAAGTGGTGAATTATTTAAAAGTACTAGATGGATGTTTACCAAATGTATGGATTGTTTATAAATAACTATACAAGTTATATTGCCTCTAGATAAATAAATTTTAAGCTGAAGTTGATCAATTTTACATTCAATTGCCTATGTCAATTTTTTTTGAATAAATTAATAATGTTACCCATTGAGTCCAAAATCTATCTCAAAAATTATGATTTATGTGTATCTTAAGAACTACGATTTATGTCAACTATAAAAGTCATATGGAAATTACTCACAAAATACAATATTGTAATTATTATGAAAAACAAATTATAATAGATTCACTCACTAATATAATATTTTCAAATTGGATTTATCACTTAATACTTTAAGTGATTTTTGTGTATAGAATGGTTAAAAAACTAGTAATTTTAGTGTTTATATATGCTAGCAAATTTGTGTAGGTAAAAAATATATATATATATATCGGGATGACTTTGCATACAACCAACCTTTTCTTGTTGGTGATAGAGAGAGCTTACTAGACTAGACTAGACTAGACTAATCACATTTTGTTTTGTTTAGAACAGTCACCGAAATATCTTGAGTACATATTATTTAATATCCACTAATTGATGACAAAACATGGAAGTATCTTATAAATTGGTAGATCCATGAACATTTGATCTTATGCACACAAACATAGATGCACCGTACACCTCATGTAAGAGCTATAGAACACAAAATGTTAGAGAACCTTCTAATTAACAACAAAACTCCAAAGAAAATGAAAAAATGTTTGAAATCAGTCTCCTTGAATCGACTACAGCCATTATACGCAGAAGGCAAAAGGTAAATAATAATAATTGGGCATGTGAATAGAAGTAAGAACACAAGTAACATAATGATAGCCGAATCAAAAAACAAACAGCCTGTTTGGAGATAAACATAACAAAGCAGAACGAGAAATGTCTTTAGAAGAAACCAATTAACATTTTAGAAAATTAGTTATGATGGATTACTATTACTTTATATTTCAGTGAAGTACTAATAAGGATTGGCCAAAATGGATTTACTAAAATGCAATGACAACCACAATTACTACATCTAGGATTGAAATACACAATTTTCAAATCACTCACTAGTGCTGTATTTGGATTGGAACTGTTGTTCAGTGCCTCTTTTAGGCCAAAGTGCACAAGGGTTTGTGATATCGTCATTGCAGAATGTGTATGAAACTAGCTAGACTTGTTGGAATTCTCAGAATTTCTATTTAATTTTTTTTTTCCTTGATTCATCATAAATGAATTAAAGGGACAGAATTTAGATAGGATATATCATGGGATCGTTGGAATCCAAGAGGATAACAAAATTACGTGACAAGTCAGCACATATTCATTTAAATTAAATTTAATAATTCAACCAAACACGAGATCCAACAAATAAATAATTGGGGAAAATTCAGATTTACAAAATTTGACATGAGTAAGTTCAACAATTCACAATAAAATAAAAAATAAAGTTCAACGAGTAAGCTTAACATCAAGGTAAGATTTTCAAGAACATTCAAGAAAGTCTATTGCTTGATCTGATCTTAGTAATATATTACGTATATGATTCTTTTACCCCCATTCAATAAATAGTATTTCACATGGCTCATTGTGTGTTTCTAACAATTAGAATTCAATTTATTTGTAATATGCAGAATTATAAGGGCTAAGAATGAGTCAATTGAAAGCAATCTTTAAAGATATGTGTCCTAATTATAGATTCTTGAAGATCTGTCTCCCAAGAACATTCCAAATTATAACTATTATCGAAGCATGATTAGCAAGTTTGGGAATTTGAGATGATTGTATTGTTGGATTTGCATTTTGCAAAAGACTTGAGTCTTCTTGAATCTGTAATTAACAGCACTAATAAGTTACAGATACACAACATTTCAAAGAGCATTTTCAAGCACAAAGACAGAGCCGCAGAGAGAGAGAGAGAGACAGAGAGAGAGAGACAGAAGGGAAACCTGTACAAAGCAAGAAGTTATCCTCTTCCAAAGACGCAGCAAGTTGGGATCGCAAATGTAGTTTGAATATATTTCAGCTCAGTGACCTCATTCCTCCGACCGTTATTAACGTCACATTTATCGAAACAGTAATGGTAGATATAAAATAGGGAGCTCCACTTTGTTTTAAATATTTTTTATTTTATTATATAGTTATATTAATATTTTGGAATTTTAATTTTTTTTTTAAGAGGTGTATTTTGTATGAAAGAGTACTAATGTAAGGAAAAATTACTCATAAATCCCATATTGGGAAATGTTACTCTATCTAGTCCTTAGTGTTTTTTCTTAAACTATTTAGTCTTTTTTATTTTTTGTACGATATATGTTTTTGATTTATTGTATATGGAATTTACATTTTTATCCATATTGATTTCATTTTGGTGATGTTGCTAATGTAGTTGATATTGCTGATGTTTTCATGATGTTGCTAATGTAGTTGATGTTTATGAAGCCGTGGCCCGTCAGATTCAGAGAGAGATGGAGATGACGGAAGAGGCCGATCTGGAACTTGAACTTGAAGACGAAGAAGCGATCTTGACGAAGCGGCGCCAGCAGAGGAGAAGGAGAAGCCGAGGCAGCGGCGGCATAGCTGTGGGGAGCCATACCAGCAACGGCGACACCACCGACGGAGGGAGAAGGCACTAGCAACAGATCTTATTCGATCTGATTTAAGGGAAGTACAGATCTGATTTGAATCTCCTCCAACGCCGCTGAAGAACATCGCTGAAGTTCGAACATCGCTGAAGAACATCACTATGTTCTTCCCCATCAACACCATCGCCTCACCTCGCAGTCCCTTGCGAATGTTCTGAAGCTGGTTCGATCTAATTTGAATCTCCTCCAATACCGCTGAAAAACATCGTTGATTTGAGGGAAGTACAGATCTGATTTGAATCTCCTCCAACGTCGCCGAAGAACATCGCTGAAGAACATCACTGCGTTCTTTCCCATCAACACCACAGACTCACCTCGCAGTCTCTTGCGAATGTTCTGAAGCTGGTTCGATTTGATTTGAATCTCCTCCAATACCGCTGAAGAACATCGTTGTGTTCTTGCCCATCAACACCACCGACTCATCTCGCAGTCCCTTGATCTGATTTGAATCTCCTCCAACGCTGCTGAAGAACATCGCTGACTTGGTGATGATATTCGAATGTTGATGATGTTCACAATTTTTTTGATGATGTTTGTTGATGTTTGATGATATTTTGTTAACGTTTGATGTTGTCGATGTTTTGATGATGTTTTGTTGATGTTTGATAATATTTTGTTAACGTTTGATGTTGTCGATGTTTTGATGATGTTTTGTTGATGTTTGATGTGTTGATGTTTGAACATTGTCTTCATGCTGGGCATAAATAGTTTTTGTTCTGAATGTTGTTGAATTTTTGATAATGCTTTTTTAGTGATGTTGTTGATGTTGTTGATGGTGATGATGTAGTTGACGTTGCTGATGTTCGGAAAGAAGGGAAATCTAAAAAAGGCCTATAGTAAGCTTCTTGGGTAATTCGGTAAATTACACATAAACACCAACTCAAAATTATCTCATCAATTACTGACCCAGTCGCCTAAAAAAATGGGTACTAATGTCTTTACAAATAAAATAGGACCTATTAGTCCAACAAAAAAACATCGGGACTAAATGGGTTAACATTCCCAAATTAGGGATTTAATGGTGCTTTCCCCCTATATATAATAAGGATAAAAAGTTGAAAGTATTTAGAGTAAAGTGGAGTGAGAATAGTGACTCTCATAAAATATTGGATAAATTATAAATACACTATTTGAGATTTGCTTAAAATATAAGTTATTAGAAAGTTACAAATATTCTTTCGTCATAATTTTTTATTTAATAGAATTAATTGAAAAATTAAATTTTCTAACTATTTACGTGAATTATTAATTAAAATAAATTTTCTACATTATTAAAAAATGTTAATTGACTTGATAAATTATTCATAAAAGAGCTATTTGTTATGGAAATTGAAAACTTGAAGAAGTAGGATGTAATTTTTAAAATCACAAGAGGCAATTCGTATTTTAAACAAATTTTCAACAGTGCATTTGTAATTTATTTTAAAATATTTTACCGAATAATTACTCATACCTATATATGAGTGTTTGGTAAAATTTGCAGTATCTTTAATATTTTTATTATAGAAATGAGTAATGTTAGATATAAAATATTTTACTAAATACTGTGCATGCGTATGAGATCCATACACTCACACTATGTTTGGATGGGTTGATTGGAGAGAAGAAAGAAAAAAACATTTATCTTTATTGATTTATATTATTCGTTTGGTAGATAACAGAAATTAAAAATTAAAAAAAATGCATTTATCTTATAATTTTAATTTTAAATTTCTTCAAAAATGAAGAGATTGAAATAGAAAATAAACTAACTAAATATCACTCTCTTCTTCCTAAATTATTAGTTCGATACGAGAAAAAGAAGTTAAAAATAATATATTTTCATATAGAAATTTTCAAAAAAAAAAAATCATGAAATAAAAGATCTCATTAAGTATTTCTAATTTACAAAAAAAGAATTAAAAAATTTTGACACAAGATTGAGAAAAATTACAATTTTTTTTTTCTAATTTACA